ATATCACTGCTGATGACAAATACATCTTGGCTGAAGAGCAGAAAGATGTTTACTTGTGTTTATTGACTATGCCAAGGCATTCGACTCTGGATCATAACTGTGGATAGTCTTGAGAAGAATGAGAATTGCAGAACACGTCATTGTGTTCATGGGGAACCTGCCTGTACATGCATCTGGAGGGAATTGTGCAAACAAACAAAGGAATATTCATGGTTTAAATTCAAGAAAGGTATGTGTCAGGGTTGTGTCCTCTCACCATGCTTATTCCATCTGTATACTTAGCAAATAATTAGAGAAGCTTGATTATATGAAGAACACAGCGTCGGGATTGGAGGATGCTGTATCAATATGCATGTGACACAACTTTGCTTGCTGAACGTGAGGAGCACTTTGTAGTACTTGCTGATGAAGATCAAAGATTGCAGTTTTGAGTATGGAATGCAACTCAATGTAAAAAGTACCCATATCCTCACAACTGGACCAATAGGTAGCATCATGATAAATGGAGAAAAGATTGAAGGGTGTTAAGGATCATATCTTGCTTAGATCCACAATCACTGCTCATAGAAGCAGCAGTCAAGAGATTAAATGAAGTATTGCATTGGCAAATTTGCTGCACTAGAACTTTAAAGTATTGAATAGCAAGGATGTTATTTTTGACTCAAGCCATGGTATTTTCTTATTCCTCATATGCATATGAAAGTTGGATGTTAAAGGAAGACCAAAGAAAATGGATGTATTTGAAATATGGTGTGGTAACAAATATTGAAAGTACCGTGGACTGCCCAAAGAGCAAAGAGATCTGTCTTGGAAGAAGTACAGCTAGAGTGCTTAAAAGCAAGGATAATGAAACTTTGTCTCAGGAGAGATCTGTCCCTGGAGAAGAACATCATGGTTGGTAAAATGGAGGGGCAGCGAAAACGAGGAAGAACCGTGACAAGAGAAATTGACCCTGTGCCTGTAGTAACGGGCTCAAACATAAGAACACTTGTGAGGATGTTGCAGGACGGGGCGGTGCTCTGTTCTGTTGTACACCGGGTCACTGTGAGTGGGTATTGATGCGATGGCTCCTGACAACACCACCGCCAGCAGCACTGAGAAATAAGCCTTATTTGGCAGGGCTTATTGAGAACAGCGTTTAGGAAGCGGGAAACGTTTTAGTTCTTATCTTTGTTATATTCATTTCAACTGTTCGTCTTTGTATACATTATCCGAATAAATGCTTGCATAATAATTTGCAGTCATATTTTGTGACCTGTAGGACAAGAAATCGCAGTCAGGCAGCAGCTGGTCATCATTTCTCAACCTTAAATGGCCCATCTGCCCGTTTGTTTCTTTAATTGGCTGCCGTCCCCTTCTCTACTGTGAGCATTTCAATCTCCCTATTTACACCTCTCATCTCAGACCTCAGCTTGCACTCTGAACAAGTGACCTACTTTGCAAAGAAAACAGAAATTAATGGGACCACCCCCTTAACTTTGTGACCAAATCGGCAAAACCCATCTGCATTCCGGCATTTTCACTTTTCCTTCCTTCTTGTTCGAATGGAAATGTCTTTCCATTTAGGCAAGAAAGGCAAACCCTTTCTTCCGAATTCTGTCTTCAGCTTTCTCAGGAAGCTGGTGATATCTCATAGTCTTCTCTCCCACCCACGCTTTCTGTTTCTGAGTGTAAGAAGAGATTGCTACAAAATCATAGCAACCTTTATTTTAAAAACTGTCGAAATGTTTTTGTTTCGTGTTATCCCCTCCAGTTAAGTCTACATACTTTGGAAGGTGGTGTTTCCATTTCTCTAACCCTGAAAATTTCTGCTCTTTTCTGTCTCTTAGTTACATCATTCAAAATGGCACTTTTGGCATTAGACTGTGCTCTTTTAAATGTTCTTTGAGTTTGAGAACGAAGAATTTTTGAATGGGCAGGGTCAGGGCTGAAAGGTAGATGCGGTGAGATTTCCCAATGAAATTCTTGCAGGACAGCCCTTCCTACACTCGGAGAAAGAACTGATCGTGATAGAAAAACAATTTCTTGGCACATCTTTCTTGACTTTTTTTCACCAGTGCAGTCTTCAGTTTTCTTAAAAGTTTTTCATATAAACCCTAGTGGTCGTCCTCAGTCCTTGAAAATCTTTCATGATTGCCCCTGTGTAAGTCCCTGAAAAATTCGGCATAACCTTTTAAGC